ACTCGTTAGCACAAGGAGTTTCGCAATATTGGCTGAGAATGATACAGATCGATTCTGATCGGCCGAGCAATTCGCCAACCGCTCAACGTCCATTCGTGTGCATTCATATACACATGTCATCCACGTGTTTGAACCTTTAAGTTCGAGATGATTCTATTCGCCAGATATATCAAAGATTAAATTGATTGGATTGGACATGAGTAAATCGATTTTTGAATAATACAAAAAAATTCATCTTAACCCTTCATCTTAACAGATATTATATCAATGATTGATTTGCTGGTAAAACTTGTACAAATTGTTTAGAGGCTGCGAATATTTTTGCAAAATAAAACTAGTCAACTGAAGAAATGAAATGAAAGTTGAGTTTGATTAAATGCTGTGTAAGATCAAGTTTTCTATAAATGCATCAAAACAACAGCCTTCAGTCTTCTTCCTGACCGCTCTTTTTAACTCTTTGTATTGAAATAAATTTGTATAAAGATGTAGATAAAACATTTTATAAGTGAAATCTCTAAAGCAATTTAAATATGAAATACAAGATTCGAAGAAAGTTTTTTCTTACTCTAATTGGAATCCATTTAAATGTTCAGAGCGTGCGAAGATATATACGATAGAGGAAAAGTTCGTTTAAACTGGTCTCCGAAGTGTTGGAATAAACTAATTGAGTCGGCGCGAATTAAAAGTCCCCCGTGTTATCGCGACGAGGAGGAGTTTTAAATGCGAGTTTCAAACAGTTTTTCCGGGCTGACTTCATTAATTCATCAGCGTGATCGAGACCTGCTCATCGATCTAGGATAGGATCTTTTAATTGATATTTATTGGACTACAGGAAGTAAGTTTCATTATTACTAGTTGAAATATGACTTAGATATCTAGTGTAGAATACAGTAGAATTAGATTCCAGTATAGAATATCTTACTAAAGAACACCTTGTAACAAGAAATGACGATTTTAGATTAGATTCGATGGATCATAAACAGTTTTGAAATATTATAAGTTCCAATATAAATTAAAAATTCACTGCACTATCATATTAATAAATAAGATATTTTATGAAAAATGTGATTTTAGATTAGGTTTGATGAAGATATAAGAAGTCAGTGTGTCATTTTTATCAGTTGAAATATGAATTTGATATTCAGTTATTTATTTACAAAATTTATTTTTTTGAATTATTTATTTACAAAAGTCACATTAACATAAGGCTTACTAGTGAGCATTCTTTAATACATCATACTTTATATTACTCGCATACATACTTTAAACTAATTAAATGATTATATGAACTTAAATATAATAAACTTTTATTTATTTACTTATCCATTCTTGGCCTATTGGACTTAAAAATTTTAGTCTTCCTTACTTACAAGCAAACTTAAAAACTATTAGCTTTATTTATATGTTTACTTTGGTGTCTATTCTCAGAGTTTTACCGCCCCATTTCATCCTGCATCCATTTCAGTTGCTCCTCACCTCAGCCTTTGCCGTTCTCACAAATAACCTACCATACTCATACATTTCTGGCTTAATAGGCCCTCTTAAAATCCATTCACGCTTTATTGGCCCCTCTATTTCTTATTGCTTCCATACCCATTCTTAAATCGTCATTTACAATCTTCTTAAATTCCTGGTAACTCGAAGTGTGTTATGAACTCAAATATACCTATATTTTATAATAAAAGTCTACAATTTTTAGAAACCCTAACAAAGAGACAGACGCAATGCTGTCCGATTATTAAGACAATTTTTAATATTATTTGGGATGTTGAAAGTTAACCGTTGTGTTTGAAGAGATGGGCAATCAACTAATTGTAAAATGTATCCAACAGATAAACTTGATCCGCGAAAGTTATATAATGTTGGAGGTGTTTTTGTAATTTGATAAAGGTACGTAATATTTGAGATATATTCCCTTATTTTGAAGAATTTAACAAGGGGAAATTCAGAGCATTTGTTATTCCAACATTTTTTGTGAATAATCTTGTCTTCTTTGATTAAATCATTGTGAGAAATCAGATTGTTTTGAAGTAATGCTTTAACAGCTTTTTTGTTACCTACAATTTTTACATTTGTGGGGATCCATACAAACACAATATCATTGTTGTTTCTGGTATGATATTGTTTGTGTTTGGTACGGTATTGTGTGTGGTATGGCACTGTTATTTCTGGTCTTATATCTTATTAGAAGACATCTTATAAAAAAAGATGGTTATAGATCAGGTTCGGCGGAGTACAGTTCTTAATTATTATAAATTCCAATATAAATTAAAAATTCAATGCGCTATCATATTAGAATACCTTATAAAAAGAAAAGATCAGAGAATATTGTGTGCTGAGCACTGAGTACATATTGATGCGATACGTCTCTGTCATCTACTCGATTTATCTTTGATACACAATGGGGATCGAACAGGGTAATAAAGAATAATTTGATGCTCTTCCATCGGCGAGAATTCGCAAGGGGGTCGCGTTTGCTCGAAAACCTGTCCACTTGGACGTTACGCTCGAACCTTTTCCAGTTTGGATGGTTATCGAACTGTGGACTGTGGACTCGCAATATCCGGCGAAGAAGGAGTCGACAGGAGAAAATATAAGGGGAAAAACCTGGGAATGCCACTTTCGCTCGTGCTCGAGATCGATTTTATTGAAATTGCGATCCGGCCTAGCAATCTTGCATTTTCACGAGACAGAGGCTTCCTTCGTGCACAGAAATTATACCGTACGGTAAAATAAACCGCTTTGATACTTTAGTGCTGAATTTGTACTAATTTGTACCATCAAAAGAAATTTTGTAACCCTCACCGTTGTCATGGAAATCGGAGCGATGCGAGTTTAACGTTAAGTGTTACGCTCCGATTTCCTTAACAACAGTACTAGGTACAAAATTTAGATAAATAGCTTATCAGATGCTTATGTGCAAATCTTATCAAGTCTTCTGCACTAAAGAATAATGTTTTTACCGTCTTGATACAATCAACAATAGTGCGGGAAGGATTGCATTAAGTGCTTAATGTACCAGCTCGATTCTGTTAAGTGCAGCAAATCTTACTAAAGTTCAGAGGAATGCAATTTACCATCTGTTATGTTTTATCAACAATCATAATCCAAAAAGGAAAACAATATTTCCCAAGAAATACAACCATCTATTCAACCGCAAGCCTACAATGCCTAACTCTATGGGCATCTGTATTGAAATACTCTGAAGGAATTTAATGTTTTACTCTGAGCTACCTTCGAAATTACAAAGTCTGAAATACGTCCATGGGCGTCCAACATTTCAGCTCAATTAAAATGAGTCATCGGATCTAAGAAGGAAGTGAATCCTGATATTTTTAGGCAAATGTTTGAAATCACAGCTGCTTATGCCATAATGCAGGAGTAGCCATGCCTTACCTCATGGCGAGCCTCATTGAAGATTTTTGAACTGACAAAGAACCATATTTTTTTCAAATGACTTACAACTTAAAAAATTTAAGACTTTTTGAAAGAACAAAAAACAAATCCAACGTATTATACAGGGTGTTCCGTAAAAAGTGTAAGAGGCGGAAATGGCAGAGTGGGAAGGTCATTCTGAACAACAATTTCCTTTAGCAAAATGTAAAATGGGGCTTGGTTTTTTAATTATAAGCAAAAAACACTGGCTAATGAGAGCGCGCGATCCATTCGCGCTCAATGACAGATCTCTTGGCTCGAATCGTGGCGTCCAGGCATAGCCAGGGGATGCCGCTCAGTACAAAGCGTTTTAAGAAAATAATGAATAATAAAGTACATAAACAATGCAAGGAAATTGTTCGTTCTTTATTATGAATAAAAATTAATACACTTAATCGTTATTCAAGTGGAATGGATGGAGAAAAGAGGAATTTAATAAGACAAATGAAAAATTAAAAAGTCACAGCGAACATTGAATTTAAAAAAACTGCAGAACAGTACAGATTGGACTAATCTATTCATCCACAAGTTCACTTGCTCCGAGCAAGACGGATCACGATCAATAGGTCATCCTGCTGATTCTTGCCGCTTACAGGTAGAACACATGGTCGGCCACAGCTGATCTTCGATTACGTTCAATACACGACTTCAAAAGGAGTCTATTAACTTTCGTATACAAACTTAACTTCACTACACCACTGTCACTTTTCATTCAAAAATTTTCAATCACTTACACTGTTGTTTCTGCACTCTAACATTAAACATCTCCGAAAGGAACCGATTGTTTTTCATTCAGAAAATGAACTTCACTGCACATTCACTGTCTGCCTGGCCCATAGACTAAGCAATGCGCGAAGAGCACGATGTATTGGCAGCAGCGGATAACCATCTCCGCGTTCCCATCACATTAAGCGAACACTCGGATCACCTCATAATAGGCTGTTGGATTCTTCGGGCATTGTTGAGTTGAGATGCACGACTCGATACCTATTGATCCGTCTCTTACAATTTTCCTTCGGGAAAATTTTCCCCACTCAATGGCCAAATTCGTTAGTGAAAATGTGTTTAGCATCCTTGGAAGAAACCCGACTTTCGATTCCTTGTCATATTTGCAACATTCCCCACGTGTTAAACACTCAATACCACCGCGACATGCAGCTGCCAAACATCGACACCTGGATTGTCCTTAACCGTAGCCGACGTAGCCGTAGACACATTATAGTAGGTAAAAGTCGTACCATAAACTGTACGGAAGAACTTTCGGCAGCTTATTCTTTTCGATTTTCCTTAAAAATATGTGTCCTATAATAAAAAGTACGCTTCGTACGTTCTTTGCTTTGCAATTAATTTCAAAGATAGTACCAGAAGAGTGCAAAGTTCTACTGAAGACCTTATTTAAACATGTGACGGTAAGTATATTTTAATGTTCGTTTGTCTATTGTAAACGTGTTAATAAGATTTATAATGCATTTTTTACGCTTTGAGCTCCGTTTGTAGGGAATAACATGTTTTTGGAATCTGTTCGGGTGTGTATGTGGTTGGACATGTACATACAAAACAGTCTCTTATCTCATTTGTTTATTTCAATAATTAACGAATGTCATATCTGGAATACAAAGTTTACAACACACTGAGACGTCCGCTATTTTTAGATTCTATAGTCGTTAGGTCTACTTGAGGTGACGGAAGAGGTAAGATGTAAGATAAGACTGGCAATATTGCAAACAAATTATAGTCTGATAAGTTCAACTAGTTGTTGAGCTTGTATGGTAAAACGTGATGACATGAGTTCGAATCGGCAGTTACATAAGACTAGATGGCGATTGCATTTGCTATGGCATTGATAATTGTTCCGGGTTTATTTCGGCTTGAAAGAGAAGATTATGTATTTGATGCTGCAGTATCATACGAGTTCTCGGATCATGCTTGCGTAGTTTTTCTGCAATATATTCACCAAATATGGAACTATCATCTTTTGTTCTGTTCGACTGTATTGTACGTTTCAAAATATGAAAAGCATCATTGATCCGAGGATGCTTAAAGCACTTTCTTCTTGGCACCGACTTTTTGGGTGATACAAGTGCTTTTGAGGGTGGGGTGCTTGGGTGGCTGACTGTATTATTATTTTCGTTGACCTGCTCATCGTCATCATGGTCATCTGTGCTTTCTTCTGCCTCCTTTGGGTCTTCGGCCGTCACTTCGGCGTCATAATTCTAAAATAAAAACATTATTTTGTCTTAGGTACCTTCAACCGTTGGAGAGTGGACAGAAGTATCAAACAAAAATAGGTCTGGAATTTTCCGCACTGTTTGGGTGCGCTGGAAGCATATTCTGTTGCAAACACCAATTATTAGTAGAAGTACATATATCAGTTACAAGTCAACTTTCAGTATTGTGTTAATGGCTAATCGTTAATAACGACTACAATTATGTCTACGTTAATACTGGTGTTGAGGAAAAACTAGGAAATGGCGTATAAAGAGTACACAATTGCAACTATCACTTATACCACTAATAACAAGAACATATACAGGGTGTCTCAGTTTTTCTGGCCAAACTTTTCCAGCGTGTTCTACACGCAAAAGTAAGAAAAAAATCTTATATGGACATACACTCTTAAATGTTTTGCCAACCTGTGTTCGTAATATTGCCAAACGTATTCGTAATAACGGACGTCATTTTGAAATGTTAACTCGTTAACACGTTCCGTGCCGCGGAACTTGATCTTCAGACCACGTGTACCATCGGTAGTACCATTTGTTTTTGTTGCGGACTCAGCATTTGCTTTGTCGGAACATCTTATGAAACCCTATTCGGGATTACACCGGAATGTGTATGGAATGTGTATGTACGTGATTCGGAACCACGAATTTTCATTATCGATTAAGTAGAACTCGGCAAGTGGTAGAAAACGCTTTCGGCATTATTGCATCCGTATTTCGACTTTTACGAAAGCCAATATTACTAGAACCACAAATAGCGAGGCTCATCACAATGACTATAATTTGCTAAAATAAACAAATACACAATTTCTTGAGAAAAAGTCGTCGTCTATCAAGGAATGTTTATACACCTGGAGGGACATTTGACCACGAAGTGAATGGACAAGTCATTTCTGATTTTTGGAGACAGGACCGCGAAAAGATGAATTCTTTAATTCTCTTGAGAAACCTTCCACGCCGAGCAACGGTTTCTACACACGATATCAGAGAGGAATTCGCAGAATATTTCTATTCAAACAGGTCTGTTTACTGGCAAAATGATTATGCCTAAATATATGTACGTTTTTCAAATGTATTTATCGGTATATTCTCTATTTCACTAAGCCATTATTATAAAACCAAACCATTCGGTTTCTTTTTGTAAGGATTTATTAGACTAAACAGAACTTACCGGCACTGTTGGTCGAATCTTTTTTGGGTGGTCCAGAAACATTAAGCTTTCCCAAGCAAACCATTTCGAAATGTAAACATTAGCCCGACCTGAAATCACGTATGAAATTAAGATTGCATTATCACAATGATATGGGCTCAAACTTACTTTTACTTACCTTTACGTGTACTGTTTATCATACGGGTTTTTTCTCTTCGCCGGGACCCTCGCAAACTTTCAATTTTTTTCTTTAACACTGCAATGTCTTTATCAAAAATTGCACTTAGTTCACGCCAAGCATTTTCCTTTTTAACGACATTATAATAATTTTTATCGCTTTTCTGCCACAAAATGGGCCGTTTTTCGTACTCTTTGATGAATTTCAAAGTTTGCTTATTCTCCCAGGTCATTGTAAAAGATTAAAACTCCAACTTAGAGCCGCGTATTCATCTAAGTACGAACGCGAAGGCAAGTCGAGGCCGAACGTATACCTCGTTTAAAATATTTCTTCGAGAATGTAGTCTGTCGAGGCGAAAAACGAAGCAGTGATCCACAGTGAACGCAGTGAATATGCCGTCCACACGTAACCAAATGTTTCTTTGAAGTACCGACTCCGATCGGCTCGAGTTCCGAATACTTCGGTCTGTGCGGCGATCAGCCGAATGCAGTTTGCTGCGCCTCGGTCATACGTCCACATACGTATGCTCGTTCGGTCTCGCCTTGCTTCGTTTTTCTTCGCGAACGGAGTTTGCCGACGCGACGAACGAGACAGCGATTCACAGTGAACGCAATGAATGTGCCGTCCACACGTAACCAAATATTTCTTCGAAGTACCGACTCCGATCGGATCTGCTTCCGAATGCCTCGGCCCTCGGCTTGTGCGGCGCACAATCGAATGCAGCTTGCCGCACGTCGGTCACACGTCCACATACATATATACGTATGCTCGTTCGGTCTCGCCTTGCTTCGTTTTTCTTCGCGAACGGAGTTTGCCGACGCGACGAACGAGACAGCGATTCACAGTGAACGCAATGAATGTGCCGTCCACACGTAACCAAATATTTCTTCGAAGTACCGACTCCGATCGGATCTGCTTCCGAATGCCTCGGCCCTCGGCTTGTGCGGCGCACAATCGAATGCAGCTTGCCGCACGTCGGTCACACGTCCACATACATATATACGTATGCTCGTTCGGCCTCGCCTTGCCTCGTTCGCGTTCGTGCTCAGATGAATACGCGGCTGTATTCAAAAACCAAATCCCATTTTACATTTTGCCAAAGGGAATTGTTGTTCAGAATGATGCTCTCCCACTTTACCATTTCCAGCTCTAACATAATCTCTCCTTACATAATTATTGTGATTGCTAATAACTCATATAGTTGATACAACGTTAAAAATTCAATAATAATAATGATATTATTACCTATTATATATCTACGGCTGATCACGAATTGTCGCGAGGACTTATTAATAATATCTCACGCGACACTATCTCATCTGGACTGTTTATTTCACCCATCTTTCCTGTGTACGGTTTTGAAACGAGGGTAAGCTTAAAACAGTGCTTCATTATTTTCATGGAAATAATAAATTGCTTTAGTGTGACTCGGTTGAAAGAAGACGAGGTTTTTAATCGTTTTACCCGTCGGACGGGATGAATACGGAGAAAAATGTACGTTTCAATGTCGCTGAATGTTGAAGCGTACGCGGGCACATATTTCTCTGTCAGCGTGCCTTTCTCGCTATAACGAGCTGCCAGTGTAAATTATACTTTATTCCAAGTATAATAAATCCGCCTAAAGACACGAGCCACAAGTGGTTTCGTGTTATTATTAAGCGCCGGCCTAGTTCGAATCTTTAATTATCCTTAATCCTTAACTGGTAAGAAATCCGACGGACTTCGTTTGAATTCGTCTCGGCATTTTTAATTCGCGATGCACGTGTACATGTCATGTGAAAGTTTATTAAAAACCAAGTGAAACACTGAAACGAAAATAAATACGCGTATTATTTTTACAGTCGCCGGCATATTTGTTTTCGCATCGAATCCCCGTGTCAAAGAATAAAGGCTACGCGAAATTAATCGTTGCAGAGATAAAATAAATATAAATGCTCGAATATCTTTAAAAGGTATTAATCGTTCTCGAAATACATTTAGTAAATCTTTAAAAGCTGACTAACAAGTAGTTGCCTGTTAAAACTTCTTTTAAAAAATGCACATAAAACTTTTATTATATTAAATACCATATAACAAATTCAGAAACTCTAGAGTGACTGAACATTAACAAGTCGTTTATCGTCGTACCAAAACATGTGTGAATTCATTGTACAATCGAGATCATGAAAGGTTTGTAATAAAATTAATTACTGAATAATTTAGGATATTCCTTCTTGACTGAAAAGAGTCTTTTTACTGAGTGTATGAGCCAGATAAACGAGATCGTTTCCGCAGTGGTGTGTGTATGGGATGTCAAGGAAATATAAATTATCAGCTTTCTTATACTAGAAAAAGCTACCTTGTATCCGTAGTTTATCATTGTATCAAAACATGTATGAATTCATTATACAATAGAAGTAATTAAAAGATTTATAATAAAATCAATACGTATTGAATAATTTTGGATATTTCCTCGTTGATTGAAAAAGTTCTTTTTACTGACAATGAGTGTGTAAGCCAGATAAAGGAGATCGTTTTCGCGGTATGTGTATATGCGATGTCAAGGAAATATAAATTATCCGAAGGCTTTCCGACTGGTTCCAGGCCATGAAGCACGGTCCGCGAGCTTTTGAAATTCAAGCGAGCGCGGTCAACTCGGCTCTCCCCTTTTTACAGTTATCGTTCCACGTTCGCAGCACGTTGTTCTTTTATGCTACACGAGGCGGGTCGTTCCGCGTCTCTCGCCTCGTGCGCACTTACCTTCACCTGTCCTTCCCGGAGCTTATCGCTATTCCATTCGTAAACCTTTAATTGCGCTCTTTGTCCGGTTATCGACACGGTCACACGCAAACCCTTTCCCATCGATACACAGGAACCTACGCGTACCTCTTTCCGTTTCCCTTGGGAAAGGCTTTCACCTTAAATCAGCCTTTTCACCGCCCCGTTCCAACTTGAAGAGTTTCCTACACCTTTCCTGCTTACAATCAGGCTCGGTAGAAATACGTCAGCCGTGTCAAAGTCTTCTACCAGAAGATTTGTAATTCCTTGAGACATAAAGCTAATGTAATTGTATGGTACTTTATATGTATAGTAAATGTCCTTCGGTTCACGTCACAATTTTTACTCACTGGATTAAGGTTACATATAAAATGATAGAAAAAATCCAGTGAGTAGAAATCGTGACGTGAACAGAAATTGAGATATTTACTATAGTCGTGCAAGAAAATTTTGTTTGGGAAAATTTTTTTGAGATACTTAGCAGTGTTTCACATGTAAAAAAAATTTAAACAAATATGATAATAATTATTTGGTTCTCAAATAAGTTCGTTAGATTTAAGTAGATTAATTCGAGCGATGTCAAGGCCACTGTCGATAGAAATCCATCCGAATCGATGCGAGAGATTGCTACGGCACTTAATATGTCCCACAGGAGTGTAGGAAATTAATCAATCCTCTGTGTTGAAGAAATCGTGTTTCATTCTGCCCTAAGAAGCTGATCGAATTTATTTGCCAACCCAATACAATATATAATATAAAATATTAATTGTATAATGTACATATAAATTCTTAGATAGATTGTGGTAATAATATTAATATCTGGTTTTTCTCATATTTATAGATACATATTATATTTATATAATACACACTAAATAGAATGCACACTTAAGACAAACATATTAATACATTAGAAATAAGCTTGAATAAAATAAGAATATGCAACTATACGCATCATGGGGTAGAATCACGAACATCGCATCAATCCATAAATATATGTATTGATAACATTGGATATATCTCCAACAGTAACTTAATAGTTGTGTACTTAATACATATTACTTTGCAATTACAATGTCTTAATAGCTTTATTGACAATTATAGCTTATTATACATTCAGAGAGCCAAGACTTTTACATAAATCCTTTATAGTTAAAAATTGAATAGAACTCAGTTGGGAGGTGAAATTGGGTTCTACTAAGAATAGAGTGCGAATTATTATGCAAAATCAAATTTTCGTGATATCAGTTTAAGTAATTAAATTTCTTTTATTCTTCAAAAACAACGATGTGTACTTACACAAATGATGTATATTCTTATACATCAAATACATTCTTCATGTTTTCTATAAATCTATAAAATCTACAGTATGATTGTTATGAAAGACATATCTACAGTTTAAAAGCAGGTGCAGTTGCAATGATTGCACATTTTTGGGTCAGTATGAATGTGTAAGGGAGCTATGACCAATTCTCAGCAGTGTAAGAATCACTAGATCTTTCCTATTGAATACGAATGCTGGACTTTCATCCCATAAGCATTTGTGTATCTTACTAGCGGATTTGATTCATTTATGTATAAGAAAGCTGAATGTAGAAAGAATATAAATACTATATACATATAATGTACAAAAATATAGGAAATGTCAAAATCAGAGTGCATATTGCGGTACTGTTATTTAAAACGCATTCTTTAAACTGGTATTATAAATATTATTTTTTGCATAAAAATCTGCAGTTTACTTCTGAATCTCTGAAGTCGTTGCATCATTATAAGCTGGATGCCAAAATTATTAAAGATCAACGTTGGAGGTATCTTCTTGAATTGGTAAGCTTGCGGATAAAATAGTAGGATTTTAATTCAAATATATGCGTTATTTCGACGATTTCTTGTGACGAAAGGTGTTGGGTATCCTCAATTTTGAAATCCAGAAGGAAAAACTAACTAGTGTGAATTATAATTAAAAAGCTGCACTGACCGTCTTACTGGATGTATTCCAAGTCTTGTTGAATAGCGTGGAATTCACTGGATCAGTTTGAATGTACATATGATTGGCAATTAAAGAAGGAAACATTCTGTAAGTGTACTTAATTTGCACCTTAACAAATTGTTAGATTTATTGGTTTCTATGTGTAGTTTAACGAGGTCAGTGACACTTTCTTGTTGGATTTTTTGTATTCTGCTGAGTTAGGGAAATTAGTTTAGTGTTCTTACTGTCTTCAAAGTACTTCCAAAGTTTTTAGAGTCCGTTATAGTATATTGTATTGCTGTTTTTCAAGTAGTTAAGACATATGTGTTTCAAGAATTCTTTTTTAAGAGGTTCTTTAATTCGAAAACTAATAGGTTTTAAAACGGAGTGGTTTTCATTGATTTCAGAGACATTTCTGGGGAAAATAGATTTGTATACTACATCCTCAGATTACGTAGTTGTTGTAATTACAGAATGGTAAAGGAATGAAAGATTAGCTTTATTCAGAAATACTGACTTCGGGCTTGACCTAAAGGCTTCAGTAACTAAACTCCTGAAATTTTATACTTTTAAAAGAGTTTGGAAGAGAAAAATTCGATGGACGAATTTCAAAGCCGATTGCGTTAGTTTACATTCGAGTTTTTGTCGTTTCACAGATTAAAAAGCGGATCGTTTGTTTTAGTCGATTGGTCAATGGTATAAAAATCAAATCGTAGAACTCTTATAACCGGATAAAAAATCATGATTTATAAAAATTGGAAACGTAATAGTATAAAAAAAAATGTTTTTAATGTAGCAGCTTGAGTAATCGACTTTTCAGCTTCTGTTGGCTTTAATGACGAACATTTTTTTGGACGATGAATCGTTCGACAAAGTCAATTCTCGGAAATTATTCTCTATAAAAACGGCAATCTAGAACAATTAGCATTCCTACCGCGTGCCCATTTATAATGGATTGCGAATCCATATATTTCATAATTGAAATACTTGTTAGGCAAG